ATATATTTATTTTTACTTTTTCTGAGGAGTGTTTATTTACTTCAGGTGCCCATTTTTGGATTAGTTCTTTAATTGGGGGTCTGATTTTTTTCAATTATTTACATGTTCTAGATATTAGTCCTTCATCTGAGTAACAACTGGCTAAAACTTTTTCCCACTCTGAATTGTCTTTTCATTCTGTTGGTGGTTTCTTTTGCTGTGCTAAAGCTTTTTTAAAAGATGAGATTCTAGTTTTTGATTCTTTTAGTATTTTCCCTGTGATCAGGGTTTTATCCATGGAGTCTTTGCCTTACACCTATGTGCTCAAGCGTTCTACCTAATCTTTTCTTCAGCAGATTTAGTGTTTCTGTTTTAACATTTAGATCTTTGATCCATTTCAATTTTAGTTTAGTGCATGGTGAGAGACATGGGTCTAGTTTTAGTCTTTGGCATGTAGAAAGCCAGTTTTTCCAGCACCATTTGTTAAGAGGTTATCTTTCTTCCAGTGAACTTGTTTGTCCCCTTTTGGTAGGGTGGCTGAATGTGTTTGGGATTGCTACTGCATCTTCTAATCTGTTCCACTGATCTTCACCTCTGTTTGCCAATACCATGCTGTTTTTATCACAGTAGCTCTGTAGTACAAATTCAAGCCAGGGATTGTGATGACTCCTGCCATGCCTTTTTGTCAATAATTGGTTTGGCTATTCTACCTCTCTTCTGGTTACAAATAAATTTTAGGAATATTTTCTCTGGTTCTGTGAGGTACACTAATGGTATTTTACTGGGATTGTATTAAAATCTGTATAAAAATTTGGGAGTATGGCCATTTTTCACTATGCAATTCTTTCTACCTAAGAGCAAGGGATATCTCTCCATGTTCTGATGCCCTTTTCAATCTCCTTTACAGAATAGTGTAACTTTCAATGTAAAGATCTTTTACTTTCTTTGTATGATTGATTCCTAAGTATTTCATTTTTATGCTATTGTCAAAGATGTGTTTTCCCTACTATCAGTGAGTTTTTTACTTGTTTACAGAAATGCTACTGATTTTTAAGTGTTCACTTTGTACCCAGCTATGCTACTGAATTTGATTATTAAATCTAGAAGTCTTTTGGTGGAGTTTTTGTGGTCTCCTATTTAGAACATCATGTCATTTACAAATAATAATTTAACTTCTCCCTTTTCTATCTTATTTCCTTCTATTAGTTTCTCTTATCTAATTGCTCTATCTAATGTCTCTGAAAATATATTGAATAGGAGTGGTGATAGTGGACATCCTTGTCTTTTACCTGATTTTACAGTGAAAGCTTTCAGTTTTTGTCCATTTAGTATGATGTTGGCTGTTAGTTTTTCATAGATGGCTTTTATCAGATTGAGATAAAGACCATCTATTTCAATCTTCTTTAAGGTTTTTATAATGAATGGGTGCTGGGCTTTTTCAAACACTTTTCCTGTGTCTGTTGAGATGATCATGTGATTTTTGTCTCTGGCTCTATTATTGGTAGATTACATTTATTAATTTGCATATGTTGAGCCACCCCTGCATCTTGGGTTCAATCCTACTAGGTCATGGTATATAATCTTTTTGATGATTTGTTGCCTTCTGCTTGCCAGTGTCATTGAAGATTTTTGTGTCTATGTTCATCAGGTAGCTTAGTCTGTAGTTTTCTTTTTTGATTGGGTCCTTCTCTGGTTTTGGCGTCAGATAATAGCTGCTTTCAGGAATGATATTGGCAGTATTGCTTCACTTTCAATTTTATTAAAGAATTTGAAGTGAACTGGTATTATATCGTCTTTAAATTTCTTGTAGAAATTAGCAGTGAAACTATCAGGACCTGGGCTTTTCTTTGTTGGTAAATTTTAATTACATTTTCAATTTCACTTACTGATACTGGGTTATTTAGAATTTTATATCTTTTAATTCAGCTTTGGTAATTTATATGTGTCTAGGAATCTGTCTATTTCTTCTGTGTTTTCCATCTTACTAGAGTATATGTTCTTTAACTAGATATCAATGACCTTCAGGATTTCCACAGGATACATGGCAATTTCACCCTTTTAATTCCTAATTGCACGAATTTGAGTCTTTTCTATCCTTTTATGATAGTGTTGGCTAAGAGTTTATCAATTTTATATAATCTTTCAAAGAGCCAACTCTTCAATTCATTGATTCTTTGTATTGTTTGCTTACTCTCCATTGTATTAATTTCTGCTCTGATCTTTATAATTTCTTCCTTCATTTGAGTTTTGTGCTTGACTTGTTCTTTTTCTAGGCATTTGAGATCAACGTTAGGTTATTTATTTGAGTTGGTTTTCTTTTCCATATGTGATAATTCACCACTATAAGTTTCCTTCTTAATACTGCTTTAATTGTATCCTATAAGTTGTAGTATATTGTATGGACATTATCATTTAATTTTAGATACTGTTTAATTTCTTCTTTAATTTTATCTGTGACACTTGTTCATTCAGGATGGTGTTATTTAATTTCTATGTGTTTGGGGTTTCTTTTGCCATTGACTTCCAATTTCATTGTGCTGTGGTCTGATAATATGCATGGGATAATTTCAATTCTTTTGCATTCACTTAAGCATGTTCTATGGGCTAGTATGTGGTTCATTTTGGAGAACATCCCATGTGCAGGTGAGAAGAATGTGTATTCTGATATTGTGGGGCTGCACATTCTAGACATCCACTAAGTCCATTTGTTTACAGGTTTGGTTAAGTTCTGATATTTCTTTGTTCATTTTTTTGTCTACATGACCTATTTGGGACAGTGGGATATTAAGGTCTTCCATTACAATTGTATTAGTGCTTATTAGATTTTTTATGTCCGTTAATATTCATTTTATATAGTTGGGTGCACAGGTATTTGGTGCATATACACTTATGCTTGTCATTTCTTCTTCTTGGAGTTTGCCTTTACAATTATGCAGTGAACTTTTCTCTTTTGATCAGTCTTGTCTTGAAGTTCACATTGTTTCCAAATAGTAATGCTACTTCTACTTTTTTTTTCAGGTTCCTATCACATGGAGTACTGTTTCCCATCCTTTGACTTTCTGTCTATGAATTACTTTTTGAGTTAAATGTGTTTCCTGTATGCAACATATTTTTGGATCTTATTTCTTGATCCATTCTGACAGCCCATTTCTTTTGACTGGTGATTGTAGATCATTTGCATTGATGGTTATAGCTGATATGTATTTGTTTACCCTTGTCATATTCTTTTCCTGCTGTTGGCTCCCTGTCTTTCCCCCTGTTTAATTGCTTGCCCTATCTGGTGGCTTCTTTCTACTGGTTTTCTTGGGATTGTGGTCTTCATTCTCTTTCTAAAATATCCTCCAGAACATTTTGTAGTGCTGGTTTGTAGTGTAGTTCTGGGGCAGAACAGATCCAACATTTTGTCGAGTATAGAGAAGGATTGAACCGGAATGTCTCAGTGAAACCTGTCCCCCAAGTCCTGAGAATGTCAACCAACCTGTAATCTTTTAGCTGATGGATTGGGTCCCATTATTTAATAGACATTTATATTTCTTAAATATAAACTAGATTTCATAAAAAATATCCATTCTACCGCATTTTTAATTTATTTGTAGTTACCATTCAAATCCACTAGGTGTCACTTTAATGCTACCCCTTTCCCTAGCGCTGGGGTCTAACAAAACAAAGAATGTAACTTTAGCAATTAAATATAAATGCAACACACAAAACGAGAATAAAATGTAATTTTAACAGAGGACAATGCATCATAAGAGAAACAAGCAATTTGCAAAAATTTAAAACATACAACCTAAAAATGAAGACAATTTTGAAACAAAAGCCAGAAATCTATGAAACAAAGGCCAGAATATATGAAATAAAAAATAGAATCTATGAAACAAAAGGCCAGATTCTATGAAACCAAGTGAATCTATAAAACAAAAACCAGAACTTATGAAACAAAAAAGTTATAATCTATAAAACAAAAAGACCAGAAAGTTAGAACCCATGAAACAAAAGCAAACTCTTGCCTCTGTCCAGCTCCCTCTGTGGAAGATCTCTAAATGGTATAGGGCATCAAGTAATCCAAATAAGCAAAAATAATCGAAACAAGAGAAATATTGTAACTCCCAACCTGCTGGGTAGCCGAAATGACAGTTTGTGTTCTCTAAAATTTAAGGATGAATTGTAGGAACAATAGAGATTGAGTAAAAAATAGTATTGAGGGGCAGACAGCTACTGCCTGAGAAGGAGATGAGGGGACATCCAGAAAGTGGGATTCCCGGGAGGCTCTGTTTTCCAGATAATTTTTATGAACAAAGCCAAAAGGTACGGGGGGTACAAATTGGGACAAGACTACAGCCAAATAAATAAGAGCCAATGGGAAATCACAAGGTGGGCATTAAGTGGGACAAAACAATGATCACCGAATAAGATTACAAGTACAGTCACACAGATAATATTGATTACATGGGATCAAATGGGAAAAAGTCACATAGCCAGCATTTAAAGAATGAACAAGGAATTTCCAGAAAGAAAATGGACCAGGGAGATTGATACCTATTCAGAATATCAATCACTGCTATTCATCTGTAGGGTTACTATGTGAGTGTAGAAATTTTTCACTTTTTCTAATGCTGACCTTCAGTGAATGTGTCTGGATTGTCTTTCCTATTGATTCATAGATGGTTGCCAATGTCTAACTATCAACAACATACCTAGTTAACTTAGCTGTTTACAATGAATTGAGAGCAACTTACCCAACAAATCATGTAAATACATCAGCATTGTGTAGAACTACACCTTTGTCAGTAAATAATCTTGATATAAAGATGCTCGAATCTTCAAAATTATTACAGAATTTATGATGGTGTAGTGGTAGAATTACCTGCGAAAGAGAAGACTGGTAGAGCTAGGGATTTAGCTCAGTAGTGCCACTGCCTTCATTGCAAGCACAAGGTCCTGAGTTCAATTGCTAGTACCCCCACAAAAGGACAATATTTGTGGTCACTGCGGTGAGAAACAAAAGAAATACTTGGTGGCTCAAAATAACAAACATTTATTACCTTATATTACTGCGGATTAACAATCTGAAAGCTCTCACAGCAATAAACCAAATGGTTGGCAGAGCTACTTTCCTTCCCAATTTTCTTGAGGAGAACCTGTGTCTTTTCTATCATACTTGGCTCAGAGATTTCCCTCTATCTTCAAAGCCAACAACAGCTTCTCTAGTTTTTCTAAGGCTGCATCACTGTACCTTTGGCCTCCCTCCAACACAGAGATTCTACAGAACCCTTGCAATTACATTGGCAAGGAAAACGCAGCATAATTTTATGTTAAATGCACCTGATCAGCAATCTTCATTCCATCTGCAGCCTTAACTGTCCTTTGCCAGGTAACATAGGCTCTCATGTTCTAGAGGATAGTATGTGGATAACTTTGGAGGCACATTATTCTGACAAACGTGACGACGTAAGCATCTGAGTGAGTTTTTAAATGGACAGCAGCGACCGCATCAATTTTGCTTTGTCCCGTGCGGCAAGCAGAGAAAAGAAGGGCTCAAGAGTAGAAGCATGTGGGGGTACAGGAAAGGATGCAAAAATAGCCAGAATTCCGAGTTGAGAAAGGGAATCCTTCACCTGGGAAAGACTGGGGAACCTAGGCAGGTGGCTATGGCTGAGGTAAAAGCAGCTTCCGGTCCAGGTCACATTTCCACACTGCCAAATATCACGATGGTGTAAACAGAATGGCAAAAGGAAACATCAAAGAACAGTGGGTTGGGGGCCAGGACTGGTTGGGACTCACCTGGTGCCTGACACCTGGCCCTTGGGTAGCAAAGAAAGAGGACTGTAAGACTCCCCTCATGTCCTGACACAGGAAGGCCTTTGGGCGCGACCTTGGGGACCGCACAACGACTAAATAAATGAGCTCCCATCTGGAATGGAGAAACAACCAGCATGGCAGAAAGGATGGCTGTTGGCGCAGACAGGGTTGGTTTCCTAGGGCCAGTGGTTTAGGTGGGCCTCGCTCTGAAAGAGGAGCGGGCAGAGGCAGGAGGGGAGCCCACCTCAGTTCGCCTAAGAGCAGAAGCTCCTTTCTCACCTTCATGGATGGAAAGGCTGTGAAAGAGAAACACGCAAGAGCCTTCTCGGCTGTGTGTTGCGCAGCTATCGCCCGCCTCCCCAGGCCTGCAGTCCTTGGCACCCCCGCTCCCACCCCGCCACCGGCGTGCAGAAAGGAGGGGGAGTGGAGGGGAGGGGAGGGGGCAGGCACCGGGCAGACTGTGGTGCGGCTCACAGAGGGGCGGCTTGGTATCCATCCGCTGCCGCCAAGCTCCCGG